TTGCAGTGAGCCAGGATCGCACCACTGCACTCCAGCCCGGGAGACAAAGCAAGATTCCATCTCAAAAAAAAAAAAAAAACCTGGAAAAAGAACAAATGCACAGCATTGGCACCGGTGGTGGGAAAGCACAGCCCAGGATGCCTTTTCAGTCACAGTCACTCACTAAAGCTACTCGATGAGCACCTAGCATGGGCTAGGTACCTAGATCAACACACAGTTACACCAACATCCCTGGCTAAGGTCACATGATCCACAGAGATGCTTGTTTGCTGAGCATGAGTCAGACCTGGAGAAAGTCCTGAGAAAGTCCCAAGGCTTCTGTGTCTGAAGTTCCAAGCCAGGATGGAAGCAGCCAGTTCACCTGCTATAGACTAAATGTTTGTGTCTTCCTCCCCTCAGTTCATATGTAGAAACCCTAATCCTCATGGTACTTGGAGGTAGGGGCTTTGGGAGTCACCGGGTTAGATTAAGTGATGAGGGTGAGGGTGGGGCCCTCATGACGGGATGAATGCCCTCATTAAAGAAATGGAAAAACATGAGACCTCTCTCTCCACCATGTGAGGATACAGCAAGAAGACAGCCCTCACTAGACACAGGATCTGCCAGCACTTTCAGCTTGGGCTTCCCAGCCACCACAGCTGTAAGAAATAAATGTGGTTTAAGCCACTCAGTCGATAGTATTTTGATATAGCAGCTTGAGCTGAGATCTCACCTGTATCGATTCTTTGGCAATGAATTCAGCAAATGGTTGCTTTGTAGAACGATCAGTTAACTGCAGGGACCAGTCATCAGATGGAGCTAAAAAGTCACATGCTCGGGGAGCCTCACCCTGGTTCCAGGAAAATGTTAAGAAGAATAACAACTTAAGCTTCTACACGTCCTAACACTGCACCAAATGCTTTAGGTATGGTGTTACTCATTTAAATCCCAGAACACGCAACAGCAGGTTTCATCAGATATATTTTATCCAGGGGGAATATAAGGTTCAGAGAATTAAAAGGATATCCAAGGTCACCAGGTTGGCAACCAATACACGCAGGTTTCAACCCAGTTCCTCTGACTCAAAGCCCTGGCCCTGTTCTCCACAGCTGTGCCAAGGAAGACTGTGCTGAAGGTACCATTTGGTCTCAGACTCTTGAATTTTCCTTGACTCCTGGGAAACAGTTTAAAACAGCTGCAAACATGGTTTCCACAACTGCATTCTTGAAGCACATACCCAGAGTTACTTCTTGTAACAGCATTTTCTTCCAGATGACTGAGATGCATCTGCTGGTGATAAGTTCAGATTAACCTATTTCAACTTGATAGCTAGATTCTGACACATTGGAAAAAAAAAAAAAAAAAAGAAGAAAGAAAAAACTATAGGATCAAAACCCCAGTTACACTGAACACAATATTTTCCCTTAGGATACACTTGGATTTTATAACTAGATATTTACTATAGATCCAAAAGAAAGTGAGACTCACCATTCTTCCTTGATCTCAAGATACATAGTTTGGATAGTCTGAAACTAGGATGTGCCTTAAAATCAATGTTTAATTTGAACATGGTGGTCTTTTTTTCCCCTCTCCCACTCTAAGTGAGCATTGACCTTCGGGAGACTTCAAAAGCTGCAATTAATATAATTGTGTGTCTTAAAATAAATGGCATTTTATTTTATTTTATAGAGACAGGGTCTCGCCCTGTCACCCAGGGAGGAGTGCAGTGGCATCTTCTTAGCTCACTGCAGACTCGAACTCCTGGGACTAGGTTATCTTCCCACCTCAGCCTCCTGAGTAGCTGGGTCTATAGGCACATGATGCCATACCTGGCTAATTTTTTTATTTTTACTTTTTGTAGAGATGGTGTCTCACTGTGTTGCCCAGGTTGGTCTCCAAGTGCTGACCTCTAGTGATGGTCCCACTGCAGCCTCCCAAAGAGCTGGGATTACAGGCATGTGCTACCTTGCCCAGACAAGTGGCATCTTACAAAGAGGAAATAAGAAGTAATGATAAACAGTCTGGCCAGAATGCTAATTTGTTTATATGTCTCCAATCCGTAGTGTGCAACATGATTTCAATATATGTTTGTTGAAATGACAAATACATCTGTAAAATAGACACTGAATTTTTTTTATTAGGGAAATCTTCAAACATATACCAAAGTGTGGAGTGTATTACAATGAACTCCCTTCACTCAGCTTCAGTATTTTCAACTTACGTCCTATCTTATTTCCTCTGCCCCTACCCACTCCCTCTCTGCCCCAGATAATTTTGAAGGAAATCCCAGATGTTAGAGAGCATTTCATCAGTAAACATTTCAGTGTGGATCTGTAAAAGACAAAGAGTGGCCTTTTTAAAAGCAACTATGACAGCATCATGACAGCTCCCTAAGAATCATCACAGCTCCCTAAAAACCAATATTAATAATTCTGTAATATTGTCAGATATTCATTTAGTATTTACATTTTCCTAATTATCCTATAGATAGCCTCTTTCTACCTTGCTGTCTTTTCTTTACTGACAGTTTATTTGCCTCAGTATCCCTGAGGCATGAAAGCTCCATCCTCTTTTTCCCTGTTTGCTGTGTTGTTAATGTTGTTAAAGGAACTAAATCTTGTCTGGTAGTCTCCCACATGTTGGCTTTGGTTAATGGCATTCCCATAATAACATTGTTTAGGACGTTTCCTTTTCTCCTGTGTTTCCTGGGCATTGGTACTTAGAGCCGGAGGTTGTGCAGACTTAGTTTGCATTTTTTGGTACTGTAATCAGGAGGTGCATGATGTCTGGTTGTCTCTCTCTTTGGATGTTATCAGCTATTGAGGATGATTGCTTAGGTTATAACAAGCACCTTTGATGTGACTGCCCCATACTAAAGCTACCAAAAAAAATACATTAAAAATAATGAATCTGAGATGTTGGGTATGTTACCTGTTCACTTTTAGGTCATTACGATTACAAGGGAGAGCAATTCCCTTGGGTTGGCCCAAACGACTGTAGGCGCTAGTATAGTGTGTTCTGCAGTGATGTGAGGGTGGTGTGCCCAGGCAACCTTACCTTAACAAAAACAGCATTATACACACTTTTGTTTCAGTTAACCAAAAAAAAAAAAAAAAAAAAAGAGGGGCAGGGGGACTGCAGGAATCTCTATAACAAAAGCATTGTTTATAGTTTCAAGTATATAGCTAGAACACTGGAATTGTAAACGTAAAAATGTGGAGTGTGATTCCATCTAGCTCTTGCTCAGGAATGATGTCTGAGGCCATCACAATACTTCTTAGACATTTCCATTACTTTTAGCACAACAAAGAGGCTGTGGCACTTATGCAACAGGCCTTTCTCTCTGCCCACACACTCTACTTCTGTGTGGGTCATAAGAGGGTCTACACATGTTTCCTAGTTAATCAATCATGTTATGTCCCATTTAGCATATGGAAACTCATGCTGTGTATACAGATAGGAAAGAAAGGAAAGAGGTATCTCACAGGCAATCACGGAAGAACGATGTGTATAAGGAGACCTCCTGGGGACCTCAACTCGTCAGAGGCAATGGTAGGGAGCTGAGTAGCCACTGTGAGTATGCTTCCATATGTCCCTTTCTTTTTTTGGCTCTAGCCATCTCTTTTCTCAGTTCAGACTAGCTTCATCACATTCTGCATCTCTCTGTAAGTGATTCAGGCATTAGAATGGCTCAAAACATACAGTGCAAGCCTTCAAATGTTTTTCCTTTTATTTTTAGTTGACATATAATAATTGCACATATTATGGGATACAGAGCACTATTTGAATACATGTATATAATGTGTAATAACCAGATCAGGGTAATTGACGTATCTATTACCTAAAACATTGATCTTTTCTTTGTATTGGTAACATTCAAAATCCTCTCTTCTAGATTTTTAAAAATATACAATAAATTATTGTTAACTATATTCACTCTACAGTTCTATAGAACACTTAGAACTTATTCCCCTATCTATCTGTAATTTTGTGTCTGTTAACCAACCTCTCCCACTATGCTTCCCAGCCTCTAATAACCACTAGTCTACTCTCTACTTCCAAGAGACCAACTTTTTTTAGCTCTCATGTATGAGAGAGAACATATATTTTCTGTTCCTGGTTTATTTCACTTAACATAATGTCCTCCAAGCTCATCCAGGTTGTCACAAATGACAGGATTCAGGATTTCATTCCTTTTTTTTTTTTTTTTCTGAGATGGAGTTTTGCTCTTCTTGCCCAGGCTGGAGTGCAATGGTACGATCTCGGCTCACTGCAACCTCTGCCTCCCGGGTTCAAGCGATTCTCCCGCCTCAGCCTCCCGAGTAGCTGGGATTACAGGCATACACCACCATGCCTGACTAATTGTATATTCTTAGTAGAGATGGGGTGTCTCCATGTTGGTCAGGCTGGTCTTGAACTCCTGACCTCAGGTGATCCTCCCACCTCGGCTTCCTAAAGTGCTGAGATTACAGGCGTGAGCCACCATGCCCCGCCCAGTTTCATTCCTTTTATATGGTTGAATAGTACTCCATTGTGTATACATGCCACATTTTCTTTATTCATTCTTCTGTTGATGGACATTTAGGTTGACTCCATACCTTGGCTATTGTGAATAGTGCTGGAATAAACATGGCAATGCAGATGTCTTTTCCATTACTGATTTCCTTCCCTTTGGGGAAGTAGTGGCATTGCTGAATCATACGGCGGTTATGTTTTTAGGTTTTTGAGAAACCTCCATATTGTTTTCTATAATGGCTGTACTAATTTACATTCTTACCAAAAATGTAATATAAGAATTCCCTTCTCTCCACATCCTTACTGACACTTGGTTTTTGTTGTTGTTGCTGTTGTTGTTTTGTCTTTCTGATGGCAGCCATTCTAATGGGAGTTGGATGATATTTCATGTGATTTTGATTTACATTTCCCTAATAGAGATGTTGAACATGTTTTCATATTCTCGTCGACCATTTGTATGTCTTCTTTTGAGAAATGTCTATTGAGATGCTTTTCTCATTTTTAGATTGAATTATTTGTTTTTTCAAACATGTTTTTACCATCATTTAATAAATTTTTATCATAACCAAGTACACACAAACATGTAGGTATGTAGTCAGCATGTATGGTATGAAATAAATATATAAATAGACACACATATTATCTTTGAAACCAAAGTTTTACATATTATCATGCTTTCCATGTATTATATATCCTGATATTTTCTTTTCTATTCTATTCCTTTGTTAAAAAAAATACTGGTTGTAGCCTACTACATTTATTTCAAAACCCATGGGTGGGTCATAACTTTCATCTTGAAAACCACATCCTATAGTGAAGGTAGAACTTGAAGAGCATCAAACTGAAGTTCTTGGGAACTAGACTGATTCCAAATACAAGAATTATGGCTTAAGAAACTGGAGCATCATTACCCTGTGAATTAGATCAGAAATTGGAGCATGTCTATATTTGTCACATAATAAAACATTATGTGACATAGGTAGTCAAACAGCCCTTTGGTTGTAATGTGTGATCCGGTTAATCTTGGAAGTGAATCAATATCCTACAGTGATCCATTGGAGGAGAGAAGCACACTGGCCTGATGAAAGCCATCAGGAGCCCTGCCTTTTCTATTGTGGCCTTGATGGATTGGCACTTCCAAACACTCATCATCCATCACACCAGCCCAATTCTATTTTTTCTAGCTCGACAGAACACACTGTGTTCTCTGGAGCCACAAAGAGAAGAAAATATTCCCTCCAACACTCCTGCATGATGAATTTTTCTACCTCTACATTAAGTTCTGCTCACAGGGCATGTCTTTTTGGCTTTTTGAGTGTCCCGACTATGACAGGAGAACTGGTAGAAGACCAATAATGCTGCTACTATCACCAACCCATATTGCCTGACATTTTTCACCTCTCTTCTTATAAAGAGCTCCCAGCTCCAAGAAGAGAAAAAAAAGAGGAAAGGAAAACCCACACAATATCAATAAAGTTTACCCTTGAGATTAAGTTGCATTCTCAGATAGTGTTTTCACAACATAATTTTTTATGCATTCTGCTTAGATTTTAAGATATTTGGGCAGAAATCAAAATTTCCCTCCAGTTTTTATTCTGCAGTAAGTGCTAGGTTTCTGCCTCACGCACACATACTCACACAGATATTAACATATGTGGAAAGTGACTTCTATGATAGAGTTAATTTCCCATTTACTATGAGCAAGGAGTTTTTTCTAAAATATGATCAACTTGGCGGTGCTAGTGTATAAGTTTAATAATATTTTTGGTAACTAGAAAGGAGGAAATAACCCATGAGTCATGAAAAACCTGAAAAGACTATTCTGATGTTTGTTTATCTTGAACTAAATTTGCAGGGAAATAAAATCACTCTAGCAGCTAAAACTGCACACTCACATTCTTTTGTATGAATTAATTATACTTAACTGCTCTGTAATGTCCTGATTAATTATTTCCTGTTCCAGTCAGTTCATTGTGCATTTTGATACAAAACCTGCATGATGATGAGGATCTTGGATCTATTTCTCATCTTGCATACGGCCCCCATAGAGCTGATCTGAATGACTAGCTTCAAAGAAAGCCAACATCTTCATCAGCACCCCAGGAGAGCTGTGTTGGACACAGGCGGTGACAATGGAACTGTATTTTTGGCCCAGGGCATGGAATCACCACTTATGCATGAGGAGCAATGAGCTGGGGCATTTAACACTGCACAGCTTGTGAGAAATGTAACTCTCCACGCTGCACAAATTCTGATGACTTGTCTCCCACCAACAGACTCTCATGTGTATGGAGTGATGGGGCTCTCAAGAGCAAGGTGAACATGGCTAGGTAAGTCCTGAAGACAGGAGAAGCCAACTGTATCCATTTCCAATTGTTGAGATGCGGGTAAAACAACACAAATTCATTATCTGGCAGTTCTGTAGGTCAGAAGTCCTAAAATCAAGACATCAGAAGGGCTGTGTCTCTTCTGAAGGCTCTAGAGGAATATCTGTATCCTTGCCTTTTCCAGTTTCTAGAGGCTGCCATGTTCCTTGGCTCATGGCCCTTTCTTCCATCTTCAGAGCCAGCAGAATAGCATCTTCAAACCTCTGACCTCGACATTCACCCTCACATCTCATTCTTTCATTCATCTAACTCCTCTCCCTTATAAGGACCCTTGAGATTACATTGGGTCCATATAATCCACAATCATCTCCCCATCTCAAGACTTGATTAATCTAATGACATCCGCAAGGTCCTTTTGCCATATAAGGTTCGTATTAGCATGTGGAGGTCTTTGGGGGGCTGTTACTCTGCCACCACATTGAGTATCCAGATTGAGGAGGGACCAGTGTAGATCAGGCCAGAGCCTAGGCACCCTGCCCCCACAGTAGTAGGGTAGTGTTTAGTCAGGCCTTCACAGCACCAGCAGAGCGGGGCAGGAAGTCTGTAGGTGTGAGTTCTAATCCTAGCAAAATGACTTACACAATGGCCAAAGCTACCCTGCATTTTACCTGGTTACAGGCTGATCTGCATTCAGCGTTCTCTAAAACCATAAAGCTGTTACTGACAATCCATGATACCAAATTAGCTTGTAAGTGTGGGTAGGACTGAGGACAGCAGGAAGGTGCCACCAAGAACCTGAACAATGAGTTGCCCCTGTTAATTTTAAATTCTTAAAATCAACACAAACATTGATTTTATACAGTTGTGTGAGGTCAATAGGCTAATCCCAGGCTCCAGTTAGCATCCACACATTGAAAAGAAGAGTGTTAACGAGGGTTCTTGGACTCTCAGTGCACTAATTGACATGAAGCCAAAAGAGTTTTCTCAGACAAGACTTCATTGGAGTTTATGTCTGGACATAAGGGTGGCAGCACAGGAGAGAGAGAATTCTCTGGCTCTCCAAAAAGAGATGCTTGGGCTTTTTTATTAGGCAAAACACAGGAAATGACATCAGGAGTAGAGTATGCAGGCTGGACTTGGAAGGGCAAAGCACTGAAGGGTAGGGTATGCAGGTCACCATATTTGGTTTCAATGGTTATCTTGAGTAACGGGCCACCCAATGGTCTGGCCAGCAGCAACAAGGCTGTAAATAAGTTGTTCAGCATTCCTTTCTGAGGTGAAACATTACACAACCTTGGTTTGTGTATCTGGATTTCCTAAGGCCAGTTCCCAGACATCTTTAAGTAAAAGGCAGTGAGGTAGTGGTATAGGGCTTGTGGTCAGTGGGAATGCATGCAAGAATGCTCTAGTGGAAGTGTCCTGAAGCTGTTAGACTAGGTAGGTAGGCAGACAGGAGCAGGGCAGGAGAGGCCCCCACCGCAAGGAATGTTGGGTGATCATCAGGTGATGGTCAGGTAGTTGGTGACAAGGAAAGACAGTCTCCCTATAGAAAATGCCTGATGCTCACGATCAGCAGCTTCCTGCTAAGATCTCATGAGCTGGGCAAGTGGGCTCAAGCATGTGCACTAAGAGGCAAAATGGCAGAATTTAACTGGTCTATGACCTTCCTCTAGGAATGCTCAGCTGCTAAGGGAAAAGCACCTCAAGTGGGCGTGTCAGTAAACACACTGCATGTGCGGCCCCTCCTAAGTGCTGGCAGGCCTCTGCATAGTCAGACAGCCCATCCCGAGGGAAAAATCAAGGGAAGAGAAATGAAAACCCTGGAACCATGTCAATGTATGAAACCCCAAGTCAAGGGCCAAACAGGGAACTTGGATCTCTCAAGTTACCCACTTGGCCCCCTTCCAAATGTACTTTACTTCCTTTGGTTCCTGCTCTTAAACTCTTTAATAAACTTTCACTCCTACTCTAAAACTTGCCTCGGTCTCTGCCTCTGCCTTAAACCTACTTCTGCCCCTTGGCCAAATTCCTTCCTCTGAGGAGGCAAGGATCGAGTTTGCTGCAGAGCAGTCGGATTCACCACCGGTAACAAGGCCAAGTCTTGTTCCTACTCTGTCTCAAGAGTATGAGAATCAGGAGACTAAATGAGCTTTGGCACAGAGGGGCACAAAGAGGTTCCTGTGAGCAGAGACCCCACATTGCCCCTTTCCCCTGACAAGCCCCCTGAGCCTGTCCCCAGCAGGCGGCGGATGCATCAGGCACAGAACCTTAGGTTTGTAAATCTTCAGGTCATGTAATAACTGCTCTTTCCTCTGATTTCAGGCTCACCACGAAACCCTGGGATAATTGGGCTTCCCAGGGAGCCCCTCACACAGGGAGAGGATGGGCTGTCAATCTCTGGTCTACTTGACAGATAGACTCTGTTTCTCATGGAAAATTAACAAGCCAGCATGCTGGTTTGCATATATTCATGTCTTGGGAGTTTAGTTAGTATGAGTCAGCACCTCAAAGCTGTCAATCTCTGGTCTGCATGACAGATATACTCTAATTTCTCATGAAAATTAACAAACAGCTATGCGGATTTATATTTATTAATGCCTTATGAGTTTAGTTAGCACGAGTTGGTATCAACTCTGATCAGCTTAGAGGTCCCTGTAAGACTTGAGCTGCAATGAGTTCCCCAAGATTCTCCTCTGGTCAAAAAGTCCAACCCTGCCCCATGCCCCACCTTATTTCCCAGCCCTTATTCTAGGCCATTTTCTTGCACATCTCCAGGGGCCCATTGACAGACTGTGATGTAAGAGGTGCCCCCTGGAGTTGTGCCATCCTGCAGCCCTGCCCTGAATAACTCCATAGGGCTCCACTTAAATTCTGCTTCCTTAGCAGGCACCTGCCGAGTGAAGAGCCCCCCCACTCCAGAGTTATTTGGCTTCCTTGTGTTATGCTCTAAGAATCCTGCACTTTCCTTTCTTGCACTTTTCACCCTTGTTTGCCATCTATCTGCCCCACCTTGAAGGGGGCCAGGTTGGTTTTACTGACTCTTAGATGCCCCGTGATTATCATAGTACCTGAGACAAAGTAAGAAGTACTCAATAAATATCTGCTGAACAAATAGATAAATGGACGCTGCCCTGACCTCCCCTTGTGCCTCTTTTTCAACCACTAGAGAGTGGAGAATGGATGCTAACACAACAAAAGATTCAGGAGCCACTATTATAAATTAAGGAAAAGGTCACATTCAAGATAAGACAGAGAATGCCTTCGTGGAGTTAACAGGAGGCTGTCTTCCCAGGAGCAATGGAGAGACAGCCCATCAGGACAGACTGTGACAGGACACTGCTGTGGCAGTGGCAGGGCAGCAATGAGCTGTCTCTAACAAACAGCTGGACATTTCTATTTGAATGTCCTGACATTACCACAATTCAACACGTTCAAGTTCAACTCCCAAATGTCCCGATTTCTAGGTGTCCCTCAGCCTCCTAACTCACGAGTTGAGATTTCTCTCTCTTTAAAGAGACCAATTAATAAATCAACAACTCACATAGGTTTCTAGCCTTATCATTACCTTACTCCAAGTCCCACCCTGTCATACACCTGGGCAACTGTCACAGTATCCTGAGTTGGCTTCTCGTTCCTGGTCTCACCCTTTCTTCGTGCCTTAAATACTTTTTTGAAGAAACAAATACCACTTTAATAACCTCGACTCCTATTTCTCCTCCTGTCTGGAAACTCTTTCAATGGCTCTATGACTCCACATTTGCAGCAGACTGGCCTCTAAACCCTGCGCATCTGTGGTTTTTTCCATCCTTATCTCCTACTGTTTCATATCCTAACCCTGCCCCTCTGTTCCCAAACCAGTTCTGCCTCCTCCTCTAGAGCAGATGAATTCTAGTCCTTTTCCTCTAGATACCCCTCCCCCTCCTGTCCCCATATGTTTGTTCAGGCTGGATGGACTGGCTTTCCTTGTCTTTCTTCCCTGTTGAAGCCTGATCTAACTCTATGACTCAGCTTAAGACCCAAGGCTTTCGTGAAATTTGTCCTTGATTGTTTCAATTCACACAGAGAGACTTGCAGAGAAGTACCCGGTGTTGAAAACATGTAGACCTCAGGGTGCAGCCTCCCTTTACCGCTCAGGAAATTGAGTCTGACAAAGCCTAGCCATGCTCCCTTTCTGAAGCCACCACTTTTCTTTACCATTCATTATGACAAGTAATCATCATCTTTCTTAAGAGGAAGGTTGGCCCCAGGAAGATGAGGAAATCCATTAGGCTTCTTCTATAGCAACCTCAGCATCTCATTCAGGGAGAGGCTTAAAAGACTCTCCATAAATTAACACTGAAGGATACTCAGAGAGAAAGTGAGCTGTGCCAGTATAGGGAAAGTAAAGTAAAAGACAAAGAGCTTGGCCATGGGTATTTCCAATCATTGCCAGGTGACAAGGTAGCCTAATTCTCAGTGACCCATCCCAATATTCAAGCCAATATTCAGGTCACCTGGTCTAACACAGCTCTGCTATGAAGAGGATCCCACAAATGTGTTGGAGATTGTAGTGGATTGGATAGTGCCCCCCAAAAAAGATAGATCCACCTCCTAACCCCCAGAACCTGTCGTGGTGACCTTATTTGGAAAAAGGGTCCTGTCAGATATAATTAAGGATCTGGAGTTGAGATCATCATCAGGGTGGGCCCTAAATCCAGTGACACATGTCTTTATAAGAAACAAGAAAAAAAAAAGACACAGAGAAGGCAAGAAGGTCATGTGGAGACAGAGATTGGAGTTGTAGAGCCATAAACCAAGGGCCTGGAGCCACCGAAGCTGGGAGAGGCAAGGGAAGATGCTCCCTTAGAGCCTGTAAAGGAAGCGCAGCCCTGCTGAACCCTGATTTCCAACTTCTGGCCTCCAGAACTGTGCAGAATACGTTATGGTTGTTTTAATTTGTTATGGAAGCCCTAGGAAGCTAATACAGACAGCAAGTACCTCCTTGATGCCACACCTGAAAAGTGCATCTGCCTCTGCCACACTTTCCTCAGAAATACCCGTGGACCCTTCAAGCATAAACAGGGCATCGTTACTTGACATGAGGGGTGTTTCTCATGTTAATTTCTCATGAAAATTAACAGCTATGCAGATTTATATTTATTAATGCCTTATGAGTTTAGTTAACATGAACCTTTAGAGGCATTTAGAAGTTAGCATGAGCTGGGAGACACACCTGTCTAATCGTTGCTCAGGTAGTGGGAGGAAGGGCAGTCATGGAGACAAGGAAAGGGAACCTGTTCAAGGAGACCAAGAACTGAGTCTTGAAGAATGAGAAGACATCATCTGGGGGAGGAAGCTGGACGAGGCATCAGGCAGGGAGAACAGCACAGCAGTCCACTGTTCACAGGGAATCAGTGTGAGGCAAGAGTGAGGAAGGCTGGAAGCTGAGAAAAGGGCCAGGTGTTGGAGGGCTTTGCAGGCTATATTAGGAAGCACACACTTTTCTCTTAGAGATTATTATCAGCTGAGGCAGCGTAGGGCATGTTTGGAAATTTGTGTGTCGGCATTTAGTGGCCTTGCAGCCAGGCAAGCTTACTGTCTTTCAGTGTGATGGACAGTCCAGCACAAGCAAGATGTTCTTGTCCCTCCCCAAATTATAAAAGAGCTCCATTCCCTTGAGAAAAACTGCTGGGTGATGATTGGAACCACCGAAGGGGTTTAAAGAAAGAAGTGACAAGATAGGAATTGCGAACAGATCATTCGGGTGCAATGGGAGTGTGAGATTGGAGAGACAGAAGTGAAGGCTTGAGAAAAATTAGGAAGCCACACTTCAAGTACTTTCAAGGGTAATGGAGATAATACAGTCTCAGCCAGGGCAGGGGAAGGAGGTATGGCAAGAGAGGAAAGAGTGTTGAAAGGAAGGGGCTGAGAAGTTTAGGGGCTGGGAGGTGAGAGATGTTTAGGTAAAAACAGCAGGATTTTGTATTTGAATAAGGAGTCAAGAGTGCATCTCGGATTGCTAGTTGGGAGGTTTCATTAACAGATATTAAGAATAAAAAGAGAGTAACCAGATCGTAATTTATTTGAGACATGTTATTGAAGTGCCTGTGGAGATAGCTAAGCAGAAATGCCCTTTAGGCAATTGGAACCTCATAACATTTGAAGGATGTGAACATTGTAATCTCTAAGGAGGGTATTTTCAAACAGGCTAGCAGAAGGTGGAGGTCCCCATAAGTGGACAATTTGGAGCCTATAAAATTACTAATCTCACACTAAATGGATCGGGTGCTTATAATTTAGTGCCATTTCAGAAGGAGTTAGTTCCTTTAAATAAAGGGCAAAAGAAACTCTTGACCTTCAAATGAAGGGCTTTGTTTGCACTCAGATTAGTTAACAAAGGAAGACAATTGCTTGGGTGTTCAGCGGTCATGCCACCTTCATAATGAAGACCTAGATTGTTTCTTGTGAAACAAATAATTGGAAAAAAACAAAGCATTACATCAGTGTAGACAAGTAAGACTAAAACAAATGTTGACTCTTGCCCTTTGAAAGAGGACCCTAGACTAAGGAAGATGGTATTTCATTTTCTTTATTATGCTACATGGAACACTTAATATTTCTATCAGCTTATGTTTGACTATAGAAATCACTTCACTACTTGGCTTCAAGTTAGTGTAGAGGAAATTCCCAGTACTATTCTTTTTTTTTTTTTTTTAAAGCTCCTTCTAGTCCATGAGGGTTCCCAAAAGGTTTAGGAGCTCATTCTCACTTCTTAATTTCATAGCTATATATAAAATCCATGAAGGCAGGGACCAGATCTGTCCAGTTCACCATCAAATCCCCACAGTTGGCACACTGCCACACACATAGTGGGCACCTAGGCATCTGGTAAATGTTTGATTTTTTAAACAACGACAACCAAAGCTTAGGCAACTAATTACAGCAGTAATTCTTAAATCACCTTTTGATGAAGTCTGCTGAGGGGAAAAACAGGTGGTGATGAGAAAGAATAACTGGTAATATTGATCTATTCTGGGGAGAGGAAGACTTAGTTGAGAGTCATTTGAGTTGAGGCCTGATGCCTAAGATGGGAAGTTTTTATGACAGGAAGAAGGAGGAAGCGAGGCAATGGATGATTAAATGCCATGACGGGTGATACGAATGAGTGATGGAAGCAGGAGATTTGGGGAGAGACAGAGGTGAGGCTGTCAGCCTCCATTTCCTGAGCTACAAAGGGGGGCTGTGCCCTGAGGTCTCAGTGCTTTCAACACCCCGTCCTGCCCCATGAGTCTTTGTATGTGGGTTGAAACAATCAAGGAAAGTTTCATGAAAGTCTTGGGACTTAAATTGAGCTGTGAAGACAGACCACGCTTAAAAAGGGGGCTGAGAGAAGGGAGGACACACTAGGTGATAGATGAACCCTGAGCAGAATCCCAGGAGCAGAAAGGAGCATCGACCTTCTGGATGGAAAAAGGTAAGATTTGCCCTTTCAAGAGCAGTGGGAGAAATGAGTAAAGGAAGAGAGAATGGCTTATGGTAGAAAATGCTAGGTCTAATCACTTATTGAGTTAGGAACTGATTATCTCATTTAACCTCACAAAACTCTGTGAAATCAGGACCGTACTCTTAATATCCTAATTTTATATTGCATAAATGAGAACATTGAGGCACAGAAATGTGAAGGAACATGCCCAAGACACAGCACAATCAAGTGGTGGGGCAGGAATGTGGTGGCATGGGCTGTCCGACCTCCTGGCCAGCACGGGAGGAGAGGGTATGGCCTCAAGGGTGGGGATAACCAGTGAGCTGCTTTTCTTATTTCTCATTTCTGTTCTGCCTGATGCCTCCTAGCATGATTTAGCCATGTCCTATCTCCCCAATAAGGGCATAAGCCCTGTGAGTGCAGGAAGAAAGACTACAGTGTTTACAGTGTTTCTTTTCTTTTTCTTTTCCTTCCTTCCTTTTTTTTTTTTTTTTTTTTTTTTTGACTGGGTCTCTCTCTGTCACCCAGGCTGGTGGAGTGCAGTGCTGAGATCATATCTCATTGCAGCCTCTTACTCCCAGACTCAAGCGATCCTCCCACCTCAGCCTCCCGAGTAGTTAGAACTATAGGAGTGAGCCACCATGCCCGGCTAATTGTTTTTTTGTGTTTTTTTCCTATATTTTGTAGAGATGGGGTCTCACTCTGTTATCTCTTGTCTGTTGTCTAGTGAGCAATACTGTTGAACTCCTGGCCTCAAGTGATCCTCCCTCCTCAGCCTCCCAAAGCACTAAGATTGTTATCAAGGGCAGGCTTGGCTGCTCGCCGCTTGCAGCTTTGCAAGCAAATGACAAGGATGAGATTCAATAAAAAGAAAGCTACTTTATTCCAGAGCTTAGCAGTGGGGAGGTGACCAGACTCACCTCTAAAGGAACCACTTCAGATTTCTGGGCAGAAAGCAGGGTCTTAAGAAGGGACATTTTGGTATGCAGGGCATGCAGGAAGGGCATGGAGGTGTGGCGCCTAGAAGATTTGCTCTGAGGACTTATCTTGAGCGATAGGCCATCTGGTGGTCTGGCTGGCACCATTGTGGGCATGACCAGGTTGTAAATTAATCATTGTCTTGAGGCAGTCTCCTGGTGGAGAATTTTGAATGTACCTTGTTTGTCTTAAGATTTGGTCCCTGGAACTTCTAAGCAAACATATAATTAGGTAAGCTAGCAGTCCTTGCAGGGGAGTACCTGGTGGAAAGAAAGGAAGGTAGAGATTACATTTGCATTACTAAAAGGTTAATACAAAGAGCTGCAGAAGGAAAAGAAAATAAGAAACCTTCAAAATAGGGTACTCAGTTTTAGGATTACAGGCCTGAGCCACCACACCCAGCCCCCACGTTTTTCTCGTTCTTTATAGCTCTAAAGCCTGGAAGAGGACTCACTCCTACATTTTTCACTGGAGAAGAGGCTCCTACAATTGTGCCTGCCCTACCCAGGACCTCCATCTTCCCAGGTGCCTTGCCAGTCTGGCCAGGAGTGGACACCTTAGTCAAGGTCAGTCTGTGACCTTGAGATTAAATATTGCTAGAGCTCTTGCCAACAAAAATGATCTCCACTAGATTAGAGTGTCTATTTCAATGTATCAGACCCTCTTTTATGTGGAGTCTGAAAATGAGATATTCAGAGACAATCATCAGTCAATAGCAAGGTCAGAGGCCAGGTGACATACAGAAAGAAGGCAGTGAGCAGAAACTATAAAGCAGAAAAAAGCAGAGTAAAGTCAACAAACAGTGAAACAAGAAGTTGAAACAGGGAGTGGCTGAGTTACTACAGAAAATTATGGTCAGGTGTGGTGGCTCACACCTATAATCCCAGCCTTTTGGAAGGATTACTTGAGGTCAGGAGTTTGAGACCAGCCTGGCCAACATGGTGAAACCTCGTCTCTACTAAAAATACAAAAATTAGCTGAGCATGGCTGCGTGTGCCTGTAATCCCAGATACTCAGGAAGCTGAGGCAGGAGAATCACTTGAACCTGGGAGCTAGAGGTTGTAGTGAGCCGAGATCGCGCCATTGCCCTCTAGCCTGGGTGACAGAATGAGACTCAGTCTGAAAAAAAAAGAAAGAAAGAAAATTCTAGGACAGAGAAAAGATGACTCCTAGAAGGACTGGCTTCATGGGCATGTGACCTGTGCTGAGAAATGCCGCCACTTGCTGTGGCTGGCTTGAAATTCTCAGGGGTCTGCATTTTCATTTTGTACTGAGTCCTGCAAATTATGATGATGGTGGTGACCACAGTGACAAAAATGATTGCTATTTTTGAAAAGGAGTCAGGCACTTAGGCAGCCTTGAGATTGGGAGATACTAATACTGTTCTTTCCATTTCTCTTGCCCTCAGCTCTCCAGACCTACCAATCATGCCCCATGCAGGATTCTGTGAACTGTCTCCAGATCACTTCCATTTAAAACCTTCAGTGACTCCCAATGCCCTGTGTGATTTTGAACTTGACCCTCTGCAATTCACCTGTCCTCATCTCAGAAGTAGGCCAAGGATAAGCTTGGAACCATTCCACTGGAGCAGCTTCTCTGAGAAACACCAAATGTAACCTGGCATCAAATTGTTAGCAGAGAAATATCTCCTCTCAGAGATTTCTGCATGTTTTTGGAAAGCTTAAGATACTTGGGGATGGGTGAGGGGATGAGACACCCAAGGGGTATGCTGGAGGAACAATAGATGGTGGCTGGAGTGAGGCGTGAGGTAGGTTGAGAGGGACAACTTGGAGGTGGTAGACCCTGTTTCCCATAGACCTTCTGTTTTGCCGAGTTGGCCATGATGTTTGAGGTTGGAGCTAAATTAGAACAGTGGCACAAATGAGTGCAGCCTGTCTGCTGCCCTTTCCCCAGGCAGAGCTCAGCCTCTCATTTAAGCAAATGTTGGATAAATATTTAAAGAACAAAGTTTTAAAGGGTGCCAAATCATCAGACAACGTGTTTCTGTCTAGCCTTGCTCACTCCTTCTTCCTTCTCTGTCTGTCTTTCCTTTCACACCCATATTCCTTTGTCCTCCCATTCCATCTGCCCTGCCCCTTCCCACAGTGGCCAAGAACACAGGCTGAGTCAGATGCCCACATTGGATTCTCAGCTTCACCATTTAATAAGTAAGAGTCCCTGGAAATGGTGTTTTTTGTTTGTTAGGTTGTTCTGAAGTTTTGTGGGCTTTTTCTGCACTTTTAAAATTAATCTCTGTGTCTGGTTTCTCATCTGGAAGTTGGGATAACAGTAGTGCCATACCAACTACAGAGCTGATAGGATTAAATGAGATCATTTATTACCTGGCACCATAATTGCATAAAACATTTTTATTATTAACATTGTGTCTGACACTTGGAATTATTTTAATCCACTCAACCCAATAAGCACTTAATAGATGTTCTTTGCATTGAATTGAATGCTAAATCCCATTGCTAATCTCCTATCACCTCATCCTCACCTTTCTCTAACCTCACTCTCCCCCTTGCTAGAACTTCTCATCTGAAGTCAAGATAAGAATGAAAAGAACAATCCAAATTCTCCATTCCCAGATCCCATCAAATATTTTGAATTGCAAACGGAAGCAGAATGTTTTCTGATGGAATACTCTGCTATATTTTCCTGAAAGACTATTTTAAAATATTCATCTACCCTAATTAGTAAAAGAGGGTCGATTTGCAAAGCAGGTGAACGATATTTTGAGGCTCACTCTTGAACAGTAGCAGAGTGTCAGTTCGTGGGAATTTATTGTATGGAGTTCCTAGGGCCTTGGGGTCATGATGTTGGCATTTAAACCTTAGCAAGAATAGCGCTGAAAGCAAAGCTGACATATATAGGAATGAGTGGGCCCCGGTGCTGCCTTTTTGTTCTTTCAAAAAGATCATAGCATATTAATGGGAACGACTTCTGATTCTTCCTCGGCGGCTGCCACAGCACTCTGAACACACCATCCTTCAGTTCTCTGCATGGTCTATTTGGTTATGATGGAATGAATTTTAACAGGGTCCTTCCTCCTTCCTCTCCCCTTCCCTCCTTCCCTCCTTTACTCTTTCTCTCCCTTTCTTTCTTCATTTCTGTTTTCCTTTATTAATTCACTCAAGGATATTTAAGGCTATCTACCACAGGCCAGGCAGTAAACCATACTGAGTTGGTACTTACTCTTGTGACTCTTACAATCTAGCTAGGAACACAGACATCGAGTGTTAGTAAATTAGAAGTTGCCATGGGAGTAAGAAGAGATAAGACCGAACCCATTTCTGCAGAATGAGAGAAGGTGCCCTGGAAGAAATAATTATCCCTGGAGATATGAAAAATGAGCAGATCAGCTGGGAGAAACAGGCTAGGAAGAGGGAGCGTGGGGGCCAGCAGGGGCCGTGGGAGAAGGGTATGGGAGCTCTTTTGCACTCAAGCAGCACGTGCTCCTGGCCTCAACCTGCAGCTGCTCTGAGGGATGCCTGTAGCCCTGGGCATTTCCAGAAGATCTCTTCTACTACATCTGTGCTAGGGGTGGCTTTGCTTAGAGATGAAATCAGCTGCCACATCCTGCTGTGAGTTGAGGGGATTTTGTGCCACACTCTGGTCTTGGTCATCTGTGATCACTTCCAGTTTGCACACGTGGAGGTCTAGTCTCTGAGAAGCAGAGCAACTTGCCCCAGACTCAACACTCTGAGAGGCAGAGCTGGAATTAGAACCCAGGATTGTCTGTCCCTGAAACGTGTGCTTTTTCCTCAAGACTAAGGTAACTCCTAGAGGTTTTCTTAGGTGAAACTTCCTGTCTGAAAATACCATCTTTACACAGATGACTGCAACCCATCCACCACAGAAAGGTTAGGTCTTAGAAAATAACATAGTTCAGGAATACCGTTTGACCTAGCAATCCCATTACTGGGTATATACCCAAAGGATTATAAATCATTCTACTATAAAGATACATACACACATATGTTTATTGCAGCACTACTTACAATAGCAAAGACTTGGAACCAACCCAAATGCCTATCAGTGATAGACTGGATAAAGAAAATGTGGCACATATATGCCATGGAATACTATGCAGCCATAACAAAGAATGAGTTCCTGTCCTTTGCAGGGACATGGATAAAGCTGGGAGCCATCATTCTCAGCAAGCTGACACAGGAACAGAAAACCAAGCACTGCGTGTTCTCACTCATAAGTGGGAGCTGAACAGTGAGAACACATGGACACAGGGAGGGGAACATCACACACCAGGGCCTGTCAGGGGGTTGGGGGAAAGGGGAGGGAGAGCATTAGGACAAATACCTAATGCATGCAGGGCTTAAAACCTAGATGACGGGTTGATAGGTGCAGCAAACCACCATGGCACATGAATACATATGTAACAAACCTGCACATTCTGCACACGTATTCCAATAACTTAAAGTAAACTAAAAAGAAAAAGAAAAAAGAAGAAGAAAATAACGTGGTTCTTTTCCCATGCCCCTGTTGTAATTATCAAAACAAACACTGGGCAAGCTTCAAAACGCTGAAAATGCTTACAATAAAGAAAAGGGGACCAGCAGCTTCTTAAAGCTGTCCTTACTGTTTAAATTATGAATACTTTTATATCTTGAATCTTCTTTACCTTAAACTAATACATTTTAAAAGTTTTTTGATTGTAAAAAGCAAATACTCCTTGGGAGGGGTGACCTATTGAGTCAGTAACACTTAAGGGTGTGTATGCTTACTGGGATATTTTCATCCCAACAAGAGAAACAAACGCAGTACACAAATGATAAATGCCCACAAAAGCTGAAGATGGAGAGGCGGAGATTACAGTGCTGAATGTAAATGTCGCGTTCTTCAGGATTTCACCTTGTACCAACTATTTTAAGTTATTATAAAATATTCTGAATTCCCTAAGCCTAGTTCACGTTTCCACTGAACAGTTGCTCAAAGTTTTTTCTCCATGTGGAATATCTTCTTACCCCTTGAAATAGATTTTACCTCCTCCAAGAAAACGTCTCAGATCCCCTTAGTCAGAAATAGTCTGTGCCCCCTCTCTCGTCTCATGTTATACAGTGATATGTCTATTATTAAGGCTGATTGCATTAGTTCTCGTCCTACCTAAGACTAATTAGACATTTGCCCATTCATTTCCTCTTCTAAATTGTGAAATCTCAGGAATCATACCTCATTAGTTTGTGTACCTTCCACAGGGCCCAGCCTAGTGCTGTGTTCACGATAGGGGCTTAATCAATGTTTTAAAGACTTGAAATAAGAATATGTTCTTCCCTGGTTTGAGTAAATCTTTAGTAGAAATTTCTCCATAAATAGTCAAGATGAAGAGTTTTTCAGCTTGAGCCATTTGTAGGATTGCTCTGGCCTTGATGAGTTTTCTTTGATGGAAAAAAAGCATAACCCAAATGTACTCTCCTATGATAAGAGTTAAAATTTCAAGAGACTGAGCTGTTCACAGCCAAACATTTCGAATTCTGTACTATGTTCTGAGCCAATTAGAAGCAATTGGATTTATGAATTTTTTATTTTCCTGATTGATTTTCTATTTAGTTTCTCCTGAAAAAGTACTTAAAAATCTTTCCATAACATTCACCCTTTTTGTGGATTTCTAGCCCTAGAGAACCAACCTTTCAGCAATTATACAAGCCCTTCACACAATTTTTTTTTGCATTCCACTTCTTTTAAAGTAGTTTATTGAAATCCTCTCCAGATAAAAACCTTGAAATCATTAAGCAGATCACTGTTCGGAAAGACATTAATTCCTCTATTTTTCTCCTTAAAAGAGATGGCTGGTAGACAGATTGGAATAGCAATACGGTATGGTATTTATCTATAATACCTCTTCCATGATGAATAACTAATTTATTAACAATCCCATTACTCGGAACATTTCAATCACAGTGGAATGAGGTCTCTGATCTGGGTCCCGGTTAATTTAGAAATGGCCTCTCTCCCTGGGGACATTTAGAGTGGCTGAAGCCAGCTGGTGATGGGGCCTGAATTTGAATACTGCAAAGCTAGGAGTATGAGCCATAGCTTCTCAATTCCTGGCTTAAAATAGCCTGCAAGGCCTGGGGCCTTGCCCATCACCATTGTTTCCAGGGATTTTGGCCCCTGTCCTGAAGATTCTCTCCCTGTTCGAAATGGTGCCACAATGGTCCTGGGTGACTTCTGTGTCTACAGGGGACTGGACTTCATCAGCACTTAGAGCTGTTGAGCTTTGAAGGGCTCAGACTTCTGGAATCTCCTCTTTGACCACAAAACCCTTCTTTGAACACAGACCCTGGGAATCGCCTCTTTAACTATAATCTCTCCTGGCCTGGTTCCCTGGCTCTGACAAGCCCACTGCTTCCTTACTTATAGAGGAAGAGGGTCATAGAGTCCTAGTGGTGGACGGACCTTTGGAGAGCATCCTGCTCAGGGTATTTAGCCTAGGAATGCTTTCCTCAAATGAATCATACATGGAAGTCCCATAAGAAAGAACAGAGCTTCTCCGACTAAAGCATATATGTAGACTTCAAACCACTGATTTCAGCCTATGTTCTGGTTTTATACACCACCTGGGATTTTGAATACATTGGGTTCATAGCCCTAGCCTTTAATTCCTAATAGTGAACGTGGGGTCTCTGTCCCTGCGAAATCTCCCTTCACTGCCACCTCTTCCCGAATCTTCTTGGAAGGTTCCAGAGAATTTGTCACCTATGATCATGAATGAAATTGGCCAGCTCCCCACACAGCACCATCTCCCCTGCCTTTGTTGCCCTCTCGACTCCATGCAGGGTGGAGTCTATGCTGGTAAATCCAACAGGCATTGCTACTGCTTTTGCTGGGCACGTCTGCTGCCACCTTCTGCAGTGAGTATCCCCGCTAAGGCCGTGGAGATGGGAAGGCTCTGTCTAAGGTTGACCTCCTTCTTTTATGCATTCCATTCTGGTAAAAGGGTACTAAAGCCAGAATCATCATGAAAATAAACTTTTTGTGTTGGTTCACAGGCTTCTTTCTCCCTGTAACAGCATAATTGAGTCAGTGGAAGGCTGGGATGAGGATCAATCTGTATCACCGAGGACTGTGGCTTTGGTCCTAGATCAGGTTTGTGGGCTGGATTCTTTCTGCTTTCCAAAATGAGTTCCATCTGAAGGCTCTTCAGTGTCTCAGGCAAATTGTTTCTTCTGGCAGTTCACTAGATGCAATGAATGGCAGCGGTCCATAAGCTCAGGCATCAACTGGGCCATTTCCTTTCACCCTTAGCCAGGGACTCCTCTCTACTCACCTCTACCCCCAAACACAGAGTAGGAAAACAAGGTTTGGAAGAAACTTTTTAAGTCTGAGATCTCTTGATTTGTCTCTCTTCAAGGGAAAACACATTTCTAAAAAGTGATCATTGTATTTATCACAGCATTGAGAACTGAAACCTAAGCAATTAATTTAAAATTTTGATCAAGTAAACCAATCATACTGTGTGATCTAGAGACAGAACAAGGATATAACTAGTTAGTAGGATAAAAAGTCACACCACACACACACCACACACACACCACACACACACACACACACACACACACATGCACACGTACTTCCCTAAACCACAAAGGGACCTTTCCCCATTCCCATTTTTTCCCCTTAGGATTGGTTTAAAGCTTTGCTACTCAAAGTGTGGTCCACAAACCAGCAACATCAGCATCACTTGGAAGCTGGTTAGAAAGGCAGACCTTCAGTCAGACCTCACTCCAGAATCCCAGATCCGAACTTGCATTTTAAAAACATAGGAGCTGGATGCGGTGACTCATGCCTGTAATCTCAGTATGTTGGGAGGCCAAGGCGGGTGGATCACTTGAGGTCATCAGTTCAAGACCAACCTGACCAACATGGTGAAACCCCGTCTGTACTAAAAATACAAAAAAAAAAAAATTAGCGGGGCATGGTGGCAGGCACCTGTAGTCCCAGCTACTTGGGAAGCTGAGACTGGAGAATAGCTTGAACCCAGGAGGTGGAACTTGCAGTGAGCCAAGATCGCACCACTGAACTCCAGCCTGAGCGACAGAGCAAGGCTCCATCTCAAAAAAACAAATAACAAAAACAAACAAAAAAAGTAGGAGGTTCATACCTACATCCAGTTGTGAAGCACTGCTCCAGATTTTATCAACCACTTACAGATAGAGACAATATGTTTCTGAGCCTTCACTGTTCACATGTGGATGAGGTAAAGGAAGAAAGAAGTCTTGGGGAACTTGGAGGAAGATCAAGACAAAAAGTGCTAAAGAAGGATGCTGGGAATGTTCGAAGGAAAAAAAAACTTCATACTTCTCAGTTTTGCCAAAAATTGGCTCTGGGCACCAGCTTTTATAGTTGAAGCCAAGAAAAACATCATCCAACTGTATAATTTCAAATAGGAACTGTGGTGTTGTCTCCAATTCCACTGCTAGGCTAAGATCAGGGCCGCTGGCCCAGCACACCAGGACCTCGATTTCCCCTTTCCTGACAGATGACAGTCCCGGAAGCTCTGTTTAAGAATTTAGTAACTGGCTTGAGAAGGAAGATATAGTCACCATTGCTTTTTCCCTTGAATGCAATCAGTAAGTGCTCTGACAATGTTGAAGACATGTTGCTGGGGGAAGAAAATCCTAACATTAGTAAGTCACAATGATATATCCGGAGATTTTTTTCTGTTTAATCCTCCTTATGCTAGGACATTTAGATATCTGCAGAACAGAAGTAGGTAAGTACCTGGCTTTGCAAAGTAATGCTATTTTATTTGCAGAAGATGGTGAAGCTTAGCAACTATAATGTCTAAAAACAGACACCACTTCCCTGGACTCAGCTCTCACATTCCTGGGCATCCTGTCCTACTGATGAATTTCTCACTGGGAAAGCACCAGATAATGGCATTGCAGGAATGGGGTGAAACCTGCACCAACATGCCTTTGCTGTGACTTCTCCAGCTCACAC